TGTCAGCTATTTTAGGAAAGCTCTTCCATCTGCGCAGAAATTTAAGGTTGAATTATTCAACACAATCTGTTCAGGTGAATAAAATGATGCATAGAGGAAACGGATCCACAGGTAAAGCAGAGCAAATATCCAGAGTTATCCCTCATTACTTTTGTTTTTCGCTCATTTTCTGCACAGTGCCTGGTTATTTTCAGAGGATTTATTATTTGTCCAGCTATAAAACTGGATCAGGAACACTTTGAATAACAGCAATAACTGTCAATTATTGTATTCAAAGATTAATCGGATAGAAAAAAATGTCACATTCTGCAGACTTTTCATTTAAGACTTTTTCTTACATTATAAGCACATTAAAAGAATGAAAATAAATAAATTCCTTTATTAAAATCTGAAAATATGTTATTGTTAAATAGCAATAATATGGCATTCCTGTAATGCACGATTAATCATTTGTAGCAGAGGACGCATATGCAGCTAAAAAATACTTTTAACAATAACTTTGACAGCATCAATACAGTGTAGGATTAAAATGTATTCTTTTGGTTTACTGATCAATAATTGGCGGGGAAAATGTATTTAATATAAGATTTTATTTCTTTTTTTTACAGAATTTTAACCAGGTGAAGAAGAAAACTACGCCACTTAGTCAAACATATTTACAGACAAATGGTTTTTTTTTTTATCTTAGATGCAAAATGTATATATTTTCTGTACAATTTTGGCATAATTACAGCCTTGAGTGTGATTTTTTTTAAAGAATTTCCTTTTTTGAGTTTGTATATGCCAATTAATGATTATTTGATTACTAAATTAGCTGATTAATCATGATTAATCATGATTAATCCGATTAATCGTTTCAGCTTTGAAGCAAAATATAAGCGAATTCCAGTTTGGTCATAATGCGATTACTCTGTAGCGCAGCAGCAGCAGATATGATCAACCTTCACCTCATTTCTGACTGATTAAACCTCCGGAGTGAAATTCAAATAATCTGCTGACTGGCGGTAAAGCAGAGAAAAGCAATGCACACATTTTCCAGCCTTCATTGCCAGGATTTGCTGAACACGGCGAACGGCGATGAAGCGTCTTCCGAAGTAAAGCCCGCACAGGGAGCAGGTCTTCCTAGGCCTCTACTTTCTCACACAGGTTTTTGTCATCTCAGGTTCTAAATGATTTAGTAGACGACCCATATTCTGCTTTGCACAGGTTATTAGAGCAGCACAGATGGAAAACAGTGATGCAAGAGAGTGGTGCGCCTTTTTTTTTTTTTTTTTCCAAACATCACTTCTTGAAATAGTGATGTTCTTGTTCCGCTTTGTTCCACCCAGAGGATATTGTTCTTCTGTCAGGAAGAAAGAAAGAAAGAGCAAATCTAAGCACAAAGCGCGAGTGTTATGTCTACTGTGCTCTGTGAAACAGCAGGTTAAATATAAATACAACTAATCCGCAGGTTTCTGTAAAGGGAGGGGAAAAAAACTCAAACACCTCAAGAAGATCCAATAGAAATGGAACCATTAACACTATAGTACTAAAATGTTAAAATCCTGGATTTCGCTCTAAAAAAATCAAAATATACAGAGAATACCTCAATATTTTACAACATGTGGGACACATTTTTAGACATTTTCAACCAAGTCTGTCAAAGTAATTAAATGAAAAGCATGATAAATTAAAACACAGTAAATAATTTCAGAGTTTCAGCCCGTTTAAGGTACAGTCTAGGCCCAAACAACAAATCAATCATATCAAGATCAATATCAATAAATTATATGCCTGATAGAATATTCAATATATCCAGAACTATAAAGCATTCTGGGAGATATAGGACAGAAAGGAAAGGCTTTAGCCGCTCAACCTTTTACGGCTAACTAAGCAAAGTTGGTGGAATCAACTCACTCATTCTTTGGTTACCTAGCAACTCACTCATTCTTTGGTTACCTAGCAACAACCCGTAGAGTAACTTGCGCTGCAGCTGTTTAAGGTTTCTCCACTGGACATTGTAACTGCTTGAACGGCAGCATGGAGAGAAAACTGTTGATAAAACAGGAAATGTTTTATCAGTTTGACAGTAATTTAGATATTTTAAACAAAAACACAAATTAATTAGATATTGACAATTATGGATATCCACTGATATGAGATGCTTTTATTGTGATACATTTTTCAGCCATTTCCTCCAGCCCTAATATGACCTTCCAATAGGATTTAAGTACAGACTTTGAGTAAGCCACTCCAAAATCTTTTTTTTTTTTTTTTTGCCAGACTAGAACGCTACCATCTCGGTATTTGACCGTTATGTTCATCTTTTCCTGAAATTACGTTTCACACCGGATGTAACAGATGCACAGATTCCAAAGTTTTACGGCATCGCTTTGTAAATCTACAGAATATTTTCCTATCATGTTATTTTCTAATCGTGAACTCTGACCTTAACCGAGGCCTGCAGTGTTTTACATATTCTGGGTTTTTATGTGACCTGCAGGAAGTTTTTAAATGCGCTTCTGGAGTCATTTAGCCATTCCTGTAAATGTGATTTAGTATTGACAGAACAGCTAAATCTGAATGAGAAACTGTTTCATTGCTTCATGTCTCCAGAGTTATAAAAAAAAAAATCAGTTTGTGCTCTCAGATCTGATGTTACTGAAGTGTCACCGAGGAGAAATGTTGCTCATAAATCATGTCTCGCAATGACACAAGGTGGTGAGTCACTGAAGGTACCGAGATGACCTGCAGATAAAAACATAACCGTCGCTGTATTTTATTCTTCATTTGTGTTAAGAGCAGCAGCTCAACAGAGCCGTGAATTTAACTTTTTGGGTTTATTATTTTACAAGCTTCTTGTTTGTGAACTGCAGTCAGATTATTTCCAGTTATTACCAAATCCAGCTCAATATGTTGCATCAGATTTTCACTTTGATTTCATTCCCTGTCCTGAGTTTGCAGTGTGATGTCAAAACATCGTTTGTCTTTTTCAAAAGCAATTATCAACAGAACCCTGCAATAAATCACGTTTTCAGTTTAATCTGACCTTTATGAGATGGAAAACATGTTGAAAGAGGAACATTACATAATTATGTAAAAAATACAACAATTGGAACGTACAGATACTACCTTTGCCGTGTTAATATTGCAGACAGTGTTTTTCCTGTCTAACAGATAAAAGTCATGCAAAGGACAACATTTGCATTTTGATGAGATAGTAAAATAAATATTTGGCAGATCAAATGTCTTATTGTTGTGAGTTTTACAGTTAACTGTTGATAAAGAAGTGCTTCATTAATTCTGCGAGCTAAAATCACTACCAGAGCTGCAACCAAAGATTAGTTTAGTTATCGATTAATCTATCAATGATCCTGACAATCAGATAAAGAAACACATTCTACAGATTATTAATTTAAACACTTATACAACACTTATAACACTGATATAAATTTGTTATAAAAGAATTAATGACTGCACTTTAAAAATTAGGTAACTTTATGTTATTAAAGGTAAAGTTTAAACAGTAATGATTTCTTGGTTAATGTCAAGTTGTCATAACAAAGACATTTTGAATTATGACAACTTTGAATTAAAAGTGTCATAATTTACCGAATGACACTTTATGACAACAGTCATAAATATTCATGAAGGCTTATTCATGTTCATGACAGGTGTTATGTCATGTTTATGACAGTGTCATGTCAGTCTTATTCAACCCCCTTCAAATAAAGTGTTACCGTTTTTTGTTTTGTTTATTGCAACACCATGTTGGCCACTTGGAACTGGGGCAATTTAAAAGCCTGATTTAGCTGAAAGCACATTAATGTGTTAGAATGGCCTAGTCCAAGTCCAGAACTCCATCGCTTTGAGAATCAATTAACAAACTAGAAAATACTAATCACGGAGATGATTTATCAAATCCGGTTTATCCTGATAGAGGCGGGCATTTATTGGGAAAAATCTATTATCGTGATACAAATTTTGATAAATTTCCATTAATATGACAAAAAAAAACTGCCTAAAATCTTATTTTTACTATTTTCCAAACTGTTTCTCCACAAGAGCATCAGTAAATATCAGTAACTCCAAAAATATGATCGCTTAAAGTCTTAAATGTGAAATAAATCACATTTCTTTAAGTAAGTGGCATCCTGAAGAAGCTTTAAGTGTTTTTAAAGAAAAGTATTTGTTTTTCTTGCGATATGAACGTTGTGCCATACAGTTACCCAAGAAGAGAAAGGTTATAGTTTTCATTGTCATTTTTATCATTATCAAAACAGAACTGCAAAATATTGTGATAAAATTTGAAATCCAACCTCTAGACCCTGAGCGGTTTTTTTGAAGAAAATTGGGTAAATATTTCAAAACTTCTAAATCAAATGTGCAAAGCTGGTGGAGATACACTGCAAAAAAAAACTTAATTAAATCCAGAGATGCTTCCACAAAGTATTGACTCAGTGAGGTTTAAACAAAAACTATGACACTTAAGGAGTTTTGGCTAAAACATGTTTATATACAAAGAAGATTCTCATCTTCAATCTAAAGCGTATACATTTTTGTACAGTTTTGTACAATTACTGCTCTGAATGTTTTTTTCTCAGCTATTGGCCTATTTTGAATCTGTACTTCAGTTAACAATAATCAATTACTAAACTATGTCTCACAATTTACGCATCAAATAGTCCCATTAAATCATAATTTAAATTATAAAACCTTGAAGTTGTATGAATGCTTTTTGTAATTCAAAGTAACGACAGAAAACTCCATCTTTTTCGTGCATAATGTAAAATCTCCCATATCATGGCTTTCTGGGTTTTTTTTTCTTTTTTTTTCCGATTTGTAGCATGGGGAAAACATTGTATGCATGCAAATTATTATTTAAAGAAAAACTAAAAGGGAGGGACTTTTAAAGGTCATGTTGCTCAACACGATCAGAGATAAATAAGCTGATTCTGGATGCAGGAGAACCAGTCTATACCGTCATGCCTGCACGGAGAAGCGATGAATTACTAACATACCTCTCATTGGATTCTGGATCCACAAGATGCCTCCGATAAGGTGAGGAGACTGACCGAGCATCCCGACAGACCCACCGACTTTAAAGCGTCCAGACGGAAGCTGCCTTAAATAACTAAGGAGTCAATCACGAGCAGGAGAGGGTGACTCTTCAGGTCCACATGTCAGAACACCTGCTGCCTCAAATGACGAGGTTCAGACAGACTGGACTCGCTCTCTGTTGCATCACAACACAGGACATAACATCACATGCCAAGAAGAGGAGGGGAAGACCGAAACCTTTCTGTTTCCGCTGTTCTTCCTCCAGAAAACACACGCAGCGCCAGGTAGAGCCGGAGGTGATTATGCAAAGACCTGTTCCCCCAACAGGAGCCACACAATGTAAATACAGAGGCTGCGCGTTCACTGCTCCTTGTGGAGAACACCTCCATTTCACTTCTACGGGGCAATAACGGCACGTATTCCCTACAAATCACCCAATCACAGCTGAGCCGCCCGGGTTGGACGCTGTAAACCTTCAACTAGAACTAATTAACCCTGAAAAAACAAAACTGACAGCGCAGAATAAAAAAAAACAAAAAACAGCCTTACCTTCGACCGCCATCGTGCTACTCCGTAGAGCCGAACATCGTTTTCATCGGAGCAGCCGAAATGTGGATGAAGAAAAAGAAAAACACAACAACTCTGCGCTCTTTCGTTGCACCTTGTTCGGCGTGTTATCAGTTTGCTGCGGGCAAGCTGCTGGAGCGCACAGCTGCTGCCTTGCAAAGCATTCTGGGAACTGTAGGCTGGAATATCAGAGGCTGACAGAAGCCAGGAGCTTCTTTAAAAAGTTTTTGAAAAGGTGGATAGAGATGATCATGTGATGGATGAGTTTTACAGTTTATATTATCCTCTGCCACCTTATGAATAGTGACAATCACTAGGAACTTTTTCAAAAAATATGTTTGTCCATATTTATTAGAATTGTCACCATGTCATGATCGTATGATATGAGACAGATGATCTCTGGAAAAAAACAAACAAGAAGAATCGAGCTCAACAACCTCCTCCCTGAGCTACTATTGCTGTCTGCAAAAACACACCGCTTGTGACCAAAAACAACCAGTCAGGAGGAAGGCCTTAGTGCTGTCAATCATCCTCGTGTATGCTGTTCAATTGTGCTAATGGCAGAAAAACAACTTACCATTACAGGAAAAACGCTTATCTGCCAGCTATGCTGTGGTGAACCAGTAGCAGCATAACAGAGAGCAAGCAGAAGGAGTAAGCACAAGGATGATTGGCAGCACTAAACCCCTCCTCCTGGCTCTAATTGGTTGTTTCTGACTGAGTCGTATATTACTGCAACTAGCACTGCATTAGTAAAAACAAATGTTCTTTATGGTAGACAGGATGCCAGTCCACTCCAGTCATCATTGTAAATCCGACCCTGATATTAAATAGTCACAATAAACTAACATTTAATAATTTATTAAATGCATCACACACTGATTCACAATCTCTAAACTGAATTCATCAGCTTACATTCCACAATAGTTGATAAATAATAATTAAAAAAATTGGACAGGTCTCCAGTCCATCACAGAGACACACAAGACAAACAAACTACATCCATACCTGAGGACAATTTAGAGCAGAGGTAAGCAACTCCAGTCCAAAAATGCCATTTTTCTCCCAAGATGATGGATTACCCAGAACTAATGCATCGTTCTGGGTTGGTTGGTTTGTTTTTAATGCTCCAACTCTGAATTAAACAACAGCATGATCTCTCACCAGTCTCATATGTAACGTAATCTTGACAGTGCTTTCTTTCTTACATACTTGTTCTTTGCTTCACTATTATTCTCTAACAAACCACTAAGCCTCATAATTAGATTAATTTTGAAGGTAATTGATTGCACTATCCATCCATCCATCCATCCATCCATCGTCTTACACCTTTGTCCCTTGGTGGGGTCAAGAGGGGTGCTGGTGCCTCTCCAGCGAACGTTTCAGGCGAGAGGCGGGATTCACCCTGGACAGGTCGCCAGTCTGTCGCAGGGCAACACAGAGACAGACAGGACAAACAACCATGCACACAGTCACACCTAGGGACAATTTAGAGAGGCCATTTAACCTGACAGTCATGTTTTTGCACTGTGGGAGGAAGCCGGAGTACCTGGAGAGAACCCACGCATGCACAGGGAGAACATGCAAACTCCATGCAGAAAGACTCAGGGCCGGGAATCGAACCCAGAACCTTCTTGCTGCAAGGCAACAGTGCCTCAGTTGCTCTAAATTAACCATTTTTGTACTTCAATTTCAGTCTCACTGCTTCTAAAAACAGCCCAAACTCTAAAGAATAAAGGCCACAAAGAAAAGAAAATCCAGCTTTTTTTATTCAATAAGTTAATGCTTTTTGCTGTTTGGAAAATTAGCCGTTTCAAAAACCTCCTGAATGTTTAGTCACATTTGCCGTTACCTAGCAACTAAAGCGAAGCTCCAATAGGTTTGGTTTTTAGCTTTGGCTGCTGGAAAAGACAAGTGTTTTGCTGTTGACTTACCATTCAGAAACGTTCTTGTTTTTGGTACAGGAGCCTTTTCTTCTGCTTTTACAGCCGTGTGAGTGTAAACACTGAGTTGGGTGGGAGGGCCTGGCCAGCGGCAGCAATTTAAAGTCATAAGAACGCTAATGGTCGCCAAACTCCTAAGCTACAGTTCATACTGCGCCTGAAGTGATCCAAATACCATTTATTTATTTATTTATTTAATTAATACTTAAAACAAAACAGATCGGATTTATTCGAATGCAATCCAGGCCACTTTGATATCCGATATGTATCCGATCTTTTCAAATGTGACCTGAACCGACAGGTCGCATTCATCCGACCTGAACGTCATTGATACTCGACAAACGTCACTATTCTGCGCCCTGATACGCGCAAGTGGAAAGAAAAACAACAACTATGACGGACTATAATTAGGATTAAGTTGTTAATATGCTGCTCCAGCCGGGCAACAACTTCAAAATCGATACGCTCCACCGTTAGCATCCATGTTTACTTCCGCAAACACTAAGCTTCTTCTTCTTCATGGCGGTTGGCGAAATACTGCAGCGTGACATTATTGCGCCCTCTACTGCGCATGCGGGACACTTTCAGGTTGCTTGCAGCTTACACAGGAGATCACATACAGCTTGCATTTATTTTGAAGCGTTAACGATCACGCAAAAAAGACAATAATAATAATAATAATAATAATAATAATAAAATAAGTAAATAGATGTCACAAGATAATCACTTTTGATACGGAACAGTAGTGCATATCCGATCTGGTGGAAACTGACATTAACTGGCATCTACAGTAAAGAGCAACACAGTGTATTCCTACATTCCAGCAGAAAGAGATACAACAGGTTGAGCAACACACCTGGCTCAGTGATTACATACCACAAAGCTTTACTACTACATGTCATCCCTGTGCATACTTCCACTAAATCCGCATCCTTACTGTCACAATCTGCAAAAGGAAAGAAACAATGAAGAAATCCTATTAGAGAATCGTTGCTGTTTTTGTATGTTTTTAGATATGAGTGCACACTGACTGACCCAGGTACGGTGGGTTTCGACTCAAATCAAGAATCTTTGTCTCCTTTGGGGGAAATGTTGTCTGGAAAGGGAAATTCAACTTAGTGAGAATCCCACCAAGTTGAAGTGAACTCAAAGGGAAGCAGGTCAGGCTGTTCCTCTAAGGAGCGACTGGCAGTACAGGTATTACATGTGAGAGTCAGGTAAACAAAACCAAGTTGTACAACAGATGTGTTTTTATGAGGTCCTTTGTCGCTGTCTGCAGCCGTGCGTGGCTGGGACAAAGGGCGACTGACACTGAGATAAAAAGATAATCTGTCTGACAGAATGCGGAAGTATCAGTTTTCTACTGGCACTGATTCCCACTCCTGCTGCTCCTTCTCAGCATTCATTGTCTCCACTTCCGCCTGTCTTGTGGTTTTCCCCCCTACAGTCTTGCTGCAGGCTGAGGAACAGTTCAGGTGTTTCATCTTATTCCCCCACACTGTAAGTTCTGCATAAAAAGAATATGTAAGAGGTAATAAATAACTTAAAAGCCTCATACAGTTTGATTTTGCACCTCAGGTATTTAATTCCGATGTTGGCAACTGTGACAAAATCTGTCACAGATCATGAAAGTTTTCTCCTTTTACCATCAGAAATCCAGTGGAAAAACAAACTTTATGTTCAACTGAAAGCTCTAAATTAGATGATCTTTGTGATCTTATTTTATTACATTGCTTTGATTATCTATTTCTTTATAAAAAAAATAAATGGCACCTCTTATTTGTAAAGCGCCTTGAGATAAAAATAAAATAAAATACATTGATAAAAGGTGCATCAATCTCACCTGAACACAGGAAAAATCTGTTGAAAAAAATAAATAAAAACAGACAATAGTTTGACCATATACAGTTACGACAGCGTATTAGGGCCATAGATAGGAAGAAAAAAGAAAAATAAATGTCCACCAAAGGAAAAATAAAGATGTTTTCTAGGGAGGGGGGGGGGAATTCTGTGCAACAAAATGAGAACATTTGCTATAAAAAAATTCAGACATTTTTAGATTAATTTCAGTAATTTTCTATAAAAAACATGGAAATTTCTGAGGATTCTTTTTTCAATTTTGAAACTCAGAAATTTCCATGTTTTTTTCTCCAGAACATTTCTGAGCTTAATCTCAAAATTTCAGATTTTTTCCCAGTAAATGTTCAACTTTTGAAACTCACAAATGTTTCTAGAAAATGTCTGATTGATATTTTAGTTTTATTTTAGAATTTTACTCCTCCTGTTTCTATCTACAATAACCCCATATGTTGTCATGTATGGTAGATAAACAAGTCGGTGAAAACTATTTTAAATTATTCAGCTAAAACTGATTTTTTAAAATGTTAATCTCATCATGACAAGCAAAACCGGAGAAAATTTTTTTAATTAAAAGTTGAAGTGCTCTTTGAAGCCCCCTGCTGGCGGATTCTGGGAAAATCTGTCAGGATGTAAACAAAATTCAAGATGCCATCAGATTAAGTACCAGGCCTGCATATTCAGACTTTTACACAATATATTACACATTTTCTTGTTGAAATCAAGAAAAAAAAAATTGAAATTTTTCATCAGACTCAAATAAAAGGATAATAAAAGAAAAATCACAGAAATTATGCCATGCATCTTTCTAGAAGTGTTATTCACTCACTTTCAAACAATAATAACCTGATTTGTGTCTTGGCTATTTTTAAAACCAAAACTACACAGAAGCAGCAATAATCATTACATAAGTACAAATTTATTGAATTTGAGTGTACAAAAAAAACTACATAGATTGGTTTAAATTAGCAAATTATTCCACACCTACATAATTAGTGTTAAAAGAGATAAAATCGATTAAATTCACAGTCAGATTTTTGTTCAAAAAGAAAACTAACTGGGAGAAAGCAGAGGAAATAGATTTTTCACAGATTACCTCTCATACCATATTGTCACAACATAATGACAGTTTTAAAAAATATTTGAAAAAAAATATTTATATAAAAGTGACATACTGCAGCTTTAATTTCACTCAGGAGAGGACGGGTCAGGCAGCCAGGCGGCCGACTGCTGCTGGGCCTCTTTCAGGGAGTCGTGGCCGAGCAGGTTGGGGATCCACATACACTGGTAGCCGATTGAAGACTAAAGCTCACAGCTCACTTTTTTTGGAAAAACATGAAAAAAAGGTTCTCCAACAAAGTCCATCCTGGTCAAACAACCCTGGATTACAGGAAAAAAACTTTCTCAACAAACTCCTTTGGAAAGTGATTGAAGAATCTGCTGTTATTGTGTAAAAATTTAAACATCACCTGGAGAATCCTGTTCCTCCAAAGGAAATGTTTACATTTACAAAATGAAAGACCAGAAAGACGATTTTTCCTAGTGAGGACTTGTACTCAGATGAAAACTGCCAATACTCAGGCAGGTATGGACCCTGAACGATTTTTGAGGGACGCGAAAGAGACGGGTTTCAAACGTGGAACCGAAGAGGAAAGAAGAAATATGGTGGAAAAAAATTATTTGGCGATTGATTTATAAGTCCAGTCACAAAATGAAGCACAACATACCGGTCCAGAAAAAGCTTGCTCCTAAACTCTGGGAAGAAGTAAAGGACATAGATTTTGTCTTTTTTGACAAGATGGGGAAAAAACTCTGCGGAGATATCTTTCAACTTCTCTCAGGCAATGATGATTTAATTAGAGAATTGCTGCTTAAAATGATAAAAGTGACAACCCAATAGTTATTTACAAGGTTATACAGTGTTTCAAAAGAACCCTGGCAGGTCCAAGGAAAATTAACCTTCCACCACAAGAGTATGTCAGAAAGGCATGGAAGTTCATTCAACAAGCTTTCTGTTGTGGAGATAATTCAGACGATGCTCAGACTCAAGAACCCTCTAAGAGTGGAACAAACGTTGAGTTTTGTCCAGTCTTAGTTTGGCCTCCGAGTTTGGGCCACACAGAGGAGTGAGGACCAACCTCTGAGTCAGGACCAGAATCTGGGTCAGGACCAACCTCTGAGTCAGGACCAGAATCTGGGTCAGGACCAACCTCTGAGTCAGGACCAGAATCTGGGTCAGAACCAACCTCTGAGTCAGGACCAGAATCTGGGTCAGAACCAACCTCTGAGTCAGGACCAGAATCTGGGTCAGGACCATACACTGAGTCAGGACCGACATCCAAGTCAGCATCGTCCTCCGAGTGAGGACCTGCCTCCAAGTCAGGACCTCCACTCCAAGAAAGTACACGGCTCCAATTCGGATTCAGTCAGGACCTCAATCCAAGTCAGAACCGGAATCTGGGTCAGGACCGTCCTCCGAGTGAGGACCTGCCTCTGGGTCAGGACCGTCCTCCAGATCAGGACCTTACTCCGGGTCCGGACCGTCCTCCAGATCAGGACCTGCCTCCAAGTCAGGACCTGCCTCCAAGTGAGGACCTTACTCCGGGTCAGGACCTGCCTCCGAGTGAGGACCTGCCCTCCGAGTCAGGACCTGCCTCCGATTGAGGACCTGCCTCCGGGTCAGGACCTGCCTCCGGGTCAGGACCTGCCTCCGAGTGAGGACCTCCCTCCAAGTCAGGACCTGCCTCCAAATCAGGACCGTCCTCCCAGTCAGGACCGTCCACCGGGTCAGGACTGTCCTCCAAGTCAGGAGGACCTCCCTCCTGACTTGGAGGCAGGTCCTGACCCGGAGGCAGGTCCTGACCCGGAGGCAGGTCCTGACCCGGAGGCAGGTCCTCAATCGGAGGCAGGTCCTGACTCGGAGGGCAGGCCGCCTCCCCGTGCATTTTAGGGGGAACCTCTAAGAGACTTTTTTGCCATCGTCTCTGTGTGTGTGGTTCTCCGGATGCACAGCAGCACAGAGGAAGACTCTCCAGAGAATCATAAAATCTGCCAGGAAGACCATCGGCTGCTCTCTGCCTTCTCTCCAAGAACTCCACAGGTCGGCTGCCTCAGGAAAACCAAGAACATTTTAAAAGACTCCTCACACCAGGTCACAATTTGCTCCAACTGGCTGCAGATAGAGGAGCATTAAAACAAGGACAAAGAAGAACAGTTTTTACCCAGTAGCCATAAGGGCATTAAATGCCACCTAGAACAATTTATCACCCAGTTTTGTTATAATCCATGTCATTTTATTGAATGTTTATATAATAACAATACAGTTTGTCATTATTTTTGCTGCAGAATATGCCAGAAAAAAATAAAGCATCAATAAAAATGTTTCACATCTTTACGTATCCAAATGTCAAGAACTAAATGATCACATTTAACAAATACAACAATTCCTAAGCTTTCTAGAAAATAAAATCCCTCCAGTCTTTAATTCTAGTTTAGGGCCATTGTAAACAAATATTTTAGTAATTGAGAAATCTATTGACTATTCTTACGATTAATCGAGTAATCAGATATAAAAAAGATCAAAATAAAACATTGGTAAATCTAACATAACAGCAGTATTAGTATCACATATCAACATCAGTCCAATTTTTACAGTTGAGCTTCCCTAACAATAACTTTTCTGTAGTTTAAAAATTAACTCGTAACAATAATAGCTCACTTTACAAGTTAACCTGAAGAAAAAATAAAAAGCGATGGGATTTAACACCTTCGTTCGTCACACACAGAAACTCGTCTACCAGCTACGTGCCGCCATGATGAGCTCCGCCACAATTTGTTGAGACCAGGATGATATGAAATAAATTTCCGATTCGTCCGTAAAGCTACATTTACCTTATCTAATGCGCAGCCGCCCGCAGTGTTCAGTCTATCCGCTCACCTGTATAAATACTCCTGCAGCGCTTCCTCTTCCCCACTGTTCGCTGTGAACCGCCACCAGGCAGCAGCTCCAGGAGGAGGAAACACTACCAGGCATCGTGCCAGTCATTTAAAGGATGCTGACTGGTTCACTGATAAACGACAAAGACCCGAACATCATCATCAATCAATAAAATCCTCAAGCCGAACTTGAAAACTGGACATTATGCTGCTACGCTTAGCTTTCGTCAACAACTCAGGCGGAAGTGAGAGCTCTGTACGATGCAAGGAATAACCCAGCTGGAACACGGAGAGCTAAATAATAAAATATAACTTAATGAAGCTTCAAGGCAGATAAATTTTCTTTGAGGAATTTAAATGATAAAAGTATTTGAATCACTTGAGGAATCGTTTCCATCATATTCTAGTTTTTAACCAAATCAATTTATAGTTAAACTCAACATAGGACATACATGGAAAACAATTCTACGGCTCTTCGACTGTGTGAGTCATCATGTGCAGAGCGAAATTACCTATTCGATTAAAACTTTTTTCACAATACACACATGGAAATGGGTTTTCACCTGTGTGAATAATCATGTGCCGAGTTAAGCCGTTTTTTCCACTAAAACCTTTCCCACAGGTCACACATGAAAACGGCTTTTCACCAGTGTGAATCACCAAGTGATCAGTTAAAGTCCGTTTTAGACTAAAAGTTTTTCCACAGGTCACGCATGAAAACGGCTTTACACCAGTGTGAATCCTCATGTGCTGAGTTAAATTCTGTTTTTCACAAAAACTTTTTCCACAGGTCACACATGAAAACGGCTTTTCACCAGTGTGAATCACCAAGTGATCAGTTAAAGTCCGTTTTAGATTAAAAGTTTTTCCACAGGTCACGGATGAA